ATCAGAAAGTGCATAATAAAAATTATACCACACTAATAATTATAATAATAATACAAAGAAAATTATCTTATAATAATAATACCTGGGCTGTTGTATTATGATTGCTACTGGTAGAAGAAGTGGAATCTTGACTCATTAAATCACCCATCATCTTTTTTAATTCTTCTTCTAAGTCTTGTTTTAAGAAACCCTCCACATCGATTATCTTAAAATCAGCTGATCTCCTTTTTTTTGCAGCAGCTGTGTCAGTAGTTGTTTCCTTCTTATTATTATTGTTTACAGCTGGTGAATTGTCTTCATCGTCACTAAGATCAAGCAATTTTTGTTCTGATTGTTTAGGTGATAATGATAATACTGACGAGGAGGAGGAGTAAGATGAATAAGAAGGTGAAGAAGGAGAGGAAGAAGGAGTGGAAGAAGGATGTGGATGAGGTGTTATAACTGATTTTATTTCTTTTTCTTCCTTAAATTTGTCATTAATGAAAACAAAAATTGGAAATTTTTTACCATTTGTACTACTGGTAGTATCAATAGCTGTGTTAGTGTTATTGGCGATGTTGTTGTTGATGTTACTAAGTTTAACCAAAATTTCCCTAGGTTCACCACCACCACCTCGAACTTTCTGAGAACTATTATTGGAAATAATATTATTAATATTGGTTATAATCTTTTGATTAAAATTATGACTATTGGATTCTTTTCCATCATCATGTTTCTGATCAGTTGTTGATATGGCATTTAATTTTTTGATTAGTGATCGATCAAAATCATTATTAACATTAGGACATTCTTGTTTTGATGAAGTTGTAGCTGAAATGGTAGTAATTGGAATAGGGATTGTTAAAAATTCATCTGATGTTATTAACACTTAAATCGACGTTCAATCATTTTATTACTTTGTTGTATACATAATAGATTTGTAAATACCTTTAAAATATTTTTTAATTTAAAAAAAAAGTATGTATATTAGCTATAATAAATACATAATAATTATTTTTTGTAATTTAATTATTTTTTATCAATTATTTGAAATACTTCTAATTCATCATATTTGCTATTATTTACTATATTAATGTTATTATAATTACTACTAATACTACCAATAGTACCCCCAATTTGAAAAATAATATCACAACCATTACCACCAAAAGCAGTTAAATATGAAGGACCACAGTAAACTGCATTTTGATGACTATGAATAACATAACTATACTGTGCGGAATTAATATCATTTCTATTATTAATATTAAAAATAAAACTTTCAGTTGTAGGTTTATTTGTATAATTTCCATTATTTAAATTCCAATCAAGTGGATTATAACCTCCTACTAATTGATCTGAATTTTGTATTTTGCCAACTACAAGAGTTTTATTGATATTATCACAGTTTTGATGAAATTTATTTGCATTATCACCATCTCTACTACTGCGATATATAAGTTTGAATTCATATTTAACTTCCCCGAATGAACTATATGGTGAACTTTTTCTATCAATCCAACTTGCAAAAAGCAAAGTAAGATTTTGATTGATTGTCAACGATTCAAGTGTTGAATTCTGTGATTCAAATTTAGGATTCCTTGACGGTAATAAATTTAATGTTTGTTGTCTATAAGGAAATAGATGATGATGTAAAAGGAGATCCATAAAGTCTTAGGAAAAAGCTTGTGATATGGAATAATTTTAAAACCAAAATCATCTTTAGAAATATCCTGAAATCTTATTAAAGGAATAAATTCTTTTAATGTGTTACTCATATCAACAAAATTTTGTGGTGACCAATCATCAACATCAATATTGTTGATTTCTGGATGTTTTGCCAATCCCCATTTAAGAATATTTTCCCAAATAACCATCTCATTAATGGAAAAATCATCTCTTTTGAGAATTTCCAATAGGATTGGTTTTCCCAACAATTCAAATTCACTTGATTCAAATAATTTTTCACTATAATTACAAAACTTTTTTAAATAAATATCTTTCAATTCATTAAATTTTTCATTAGCATAAATCAATTGTAAAGTTTTAACTGGACTTTCTTTTATATAATCTTCATGATTTTCAACAAAATATTTCATAATATATTCATAGTGACTCAATACCAAGTTGATCTGCTGCAATCAATAGTTCAAATACTTCAGCTCCAGAATAATTTTCAAATTCAATTTTACATGTGTATAAAAATCTTTCAATAAATAAATTATTAAACAAATTATTATCATTATTATATATAATAAATAATATAATAAATAATAAATAATATATTTATTTAAACCTACTTTAGAATAGGCTTGAAACATTTTTCACTAATATTAGCTTCCCTC